GAGTAAAACAATGAAGTACGACCCCCCTGGATAGGACCAAGGCTCTTCTCTAATCGAAGGGAGCTGCCCCCCCGAACTTCGGAAGTCGGAATAGGCACGCATAGACCTTGGGAACGACGGGTGCTCAGGGTGGGACAAAATAGGACTAGCCATGGACCAATAGTAGCGACCCTGTGTTATGTTCTTCGCTTTTCCTTCCTTTTCCTTTTCCTTTTTTCTTTTTCTTTTTTCTTTCCTTCCCTTCCTTTTTTCTTTTTTCTTTTTTCTTTTTTCTTTTTTCTTTCTCTTTTCTTTTATAACCGTAGGATTGCTGCAATAAACGGAGGGATAGGCAAAGAGGCTTTCGTTAGAAGTCCACGATCCCCGATGGAGAATGRACTATATTAGAAYTTGGCGCTGGCGGTACTGTTCATCGGTCCACCGTGCAACAACTGGTTCTGACAGGTAGTAGGGCACGGTGCGTTCCGGTTCTGCGGGAGTTTGGTGTGGCGACGTGCGACATGGACTTCTTCGCCGACTGGGAACAGGTGGAAGAACAGCCGGAGGCGGAAGAAGTGGTAATGATCCGGGCGTGAGGCTCTCGCGTCATTTTTTGCCGCCCTGACCGCACCTCGGCTCTGCGCCATGCAAACCGACGTGATATGCCACGCCGGGCCTACCCTGCTCTCCCAGGCTCGTTCACGCCCACGCTTAGCGCCTGCCTGGGTCTGCTGCTCCTCCTCGCCTTGCTCCCTAACCTCGCCATAGCAAGCCTGCTTTCTGCCGCCTGCCTCTCCGAGAGGGTGTTTTTATGCACTTCTTCTTGGAGCTTTGCATTGCTGATTGCGTGCACCATCGGCTTCATTTCCKTGTTTCTGACTTGCTGCTGCTGCCTATTCTTTACGATTGGTGCCGCTTGCGGACTGCACATACTGATTGAGTAGCACACGGAGTGGACGATGGAATCGAATACAGCAGCGGGGACGTCTCCTCACGCTTTTTTAGCTTTCTTATCCTTCCTATCATTTCTCTCTTTTCTTTTCTTCATCTACTCCCTCCCTTCCCCCACTCCGATTGAAGTTTGTCCCTCCCTCCCTCCCTCCCCGACTTTCTCCCCCACCCCCATAACCACCTCCCCCACCCCCCCTCGCCCCCCCCCCCCCCCCCCCCTCACGCCCCCTCCACATTCCAAAGACCATGGAAGATGTCCCCCCTCTGATGACGCCCCAAATGGCATGGGGTAGAGAAGCGCTTCAGGGATTTGCCATGCCCTTCCTGCAATTCGGCGAGATGGTCCGTGCGGATACAGGAGCACTTTGGGCCTGGAGGATAGAGCTGAAGCAGGATCTTCCTTTTCCCCGCCCTCGTCATCTTCCCTATCTCTCCCAGTAGCCCTTCCCCCTCTATCCCCTTCCTCTCGCCTTCTTCCCCTTGCTAGTCGAAGGTTACTTGTTCGGTTCATGGCAACGAGGAATACTTTGTGATAATAAGTGTG